GATACATTTTCATAGGTTTGAATGGAAGGAACCCGGTGTTGCCAAACTGCTGGACCCGAAAATGAATTCATTATGTCGTTCAGCAACTCTGCATCCACAGGCACCATATTAACGGGTGCATGTCGTGAACTAGTCAAAAGCGGGACAACCACATAGTGTGTGTAAGGGTGGGTGTGTGTGCGTTTGGATATAGAAGAGGGAGGGGGGTGAGAATAATTTTTCTCTTCCGTTTTAATTTCCTTTGTCTGGCGCAAAACACTCCACACGAGATGAATTTTATGTTGCAGCGTAGATCAAATTGTCTGCTCTTGTCAGCGCGCTGGACGTATCAATCGCATTAATTTAGGCTCCTCTAATAATTATGAGAGCCGCTCTCCTGTGTGCACTTTGTCAATTCATAACTCGATTAATCAGTATGATGATACGCCGTGAAATTGGGTCCATACACCGGCACAAAAATACGCGTTTGATTTATGGACATCGGTGAAGTTGCTCTGTCCGGGAGGGGGGAGGACATTTACAAGCCCAACCGTGCTAGATAATAAAACAACCATTTTGAAACTGAAAAATCTATAAAATATTACGTACAACTTCAGCGCAGTTTTAAAACCGGCAGCAATTGGCTTTAACGATGGAATCCCCTTTATCCTCTTCCTTTTTTCCTTCTAAATTTGTATATGAGGTCTTATTTGTAACACTGGCGGATGTGAAAAATTACCTTTTCGAAACACGCTTAAAAAACTGTTTTGGCATCGAGAAAATTTTGAGAAAATACTTGAGATGTGATCTTCGAGATCTGTACATTATGCCAGAGCCAAACATATTAAATTTTTGTGTGAACAAACCAGTTTTTTAAGCGTGTTTCTAAAAGGTAATTTTTCACATCCGCCATTGTTATATATAAGGCCTCATATATACACGGGGCATGAGACCTATTTTATGAGGACCTACCTTAATTAACATCGGTTGGTTGCAAAAGTGAAAATGCCGTCATTTCTATTTCTTATACTCGTGAGTGGTTCCCATAGAGACCCATGGGAACCTCTATAGTCATAGCGGAATCTCTCGTGTAAGAAATGGGGATGATGGCATTTTATTGACTTTTGCAACCAATCGATGGGTATTATTAAGATAGATCCTCAAAAAAATTGGTTGTATGCCCTGTTTCACCTACCATTGTAGTAAATAATAAAAAGATATGGAGAAAGGAGGGTTCGATTGTGAAAGGCAATAATCGCTGCCAATTTCAAAAGTGTGCTGAAATTGAATGAAATATTGTATTGATTTTTTTATTTCCAATATGTTTGTTTTATTATCTAACACGTTGGGGCTTGTAAATATCCTTTCCCCACCGCAAGCAAAGCAACTTCACCGATGATGAAGTCCGATGGTGATAATAACACAGTTTGTCAGTTAGTCTTTTTCAGTATTTTTTCAACTCTTCATGCCCGTTTACCCCACGGTTTAGTTTTCAAATTGCAAACGCCGAAAATTTGCCCGGTGAAAATCTAATTCACAATTGAAAGTTTTGCAACGTTGAAATGTACTGCCGTGCCAAGGAAGAACGCCGTATGAGCATGCGAGAGATGCCAAATTTTCTTCAATGAAATGTTTAGTTTTGAGGAAAGTTATGAGTATTTTTCATTGAATTTTTTAGGAACTCAAGATGAAATTGCGAACAATGTGATCTAAAAAATTAGGAGGAAAATATTCATAAGTTTACCCGGAAATTTGTGTTTTATGTATCAAAAGAAATTTGGCAACGCCTGAAGGTTCATATGACGTTTTCCCTTAGCGCGACGGTGTAGGTAGGCTCTTCCGTATGGAACACGACGAATATGCTCCGCTCGGACAGGGAAGGTAGCAGTGGCGTGGCGTGCTTTGCGATATATTGATTGTTATGCCATTTAAACATATGGAAAAGGATCGATAAATAGGGTGTTCGCAGCGAACGCCTTAATAATCGATTCTTTACCATAGGTTTAAAACGCATATCAATCGATATATCGCAGTTCAAGCCACGCTACTGGAAGGTAGTATTGACAGTTGTGGCCTTAATTTGGAAGCAGATGTCGGTTGGAGCGCGAGCGCGAGTTATCTATCTATACTATAAGCTCCAAGACCTCCTAATTTTGCGAAACTGGTGACGCTTAGTTCCAGCTTTCTACCGGGCCGATTTTCATGATTTTTGCGGCTATCGACGGGCAATTGTCTCTAGATAAGCCAACTCTTTTCAGATTTTCAAAATATGGCCTAGGTTTTTTTATATTAAGTGGTAAAGTTGCGAATTCTCCCATTTAAACAATGTAAATTTATATTTTTTGTCATAGTTCGTTTGAGCGTTCTACCGGGCCGATTTCCATGATTTTTGCATAAATCGACAGGTAATAGGCCCTAGATGAGCCCGCTGCAATCAGATTTTGGAAAAAGGACCCAGGTTTTTTTAAAATCACGTTATAAAAGTGAGTGAGTTTACGGAATGCTCCGGTACTGCTACCGCTATGCGCGGGAGGATGCGCATTGGTCGAGGAGGTTGCGCAGTAGCTGTGTAGCCTGCGCATCAGCTCTACATTTATCTACACAAGATTCGCACCATTTACTTGATGTCGAGCGGTGGCCGAGTCGTCTAAGACGTTGAATGCGCCCGCTTTGGTCTCAGTGTGAGTTCGATCCCCGACTCGTGTGAGCTCAATTATTACCTGACTATCATTGTTCATTGTTTTACTGCAATATTTCATCAAGCAGTCATTCCAAAACGCGTCCTTTTAATTTTAAAGTAATTTTAAGTAAAGTTTAAAATTAAAGTATACCTCATATCGTATTTTTTTAGGGGAAAAATAAAACTAACACTGATAGGAGGGTAAAAATAGGGCCGCGAAGCGGCCCATTGATGGCGCAAAGCGCCTTCAGGGGGTTGGGCCGCGTAGTGGCCAGGGGGCGTGGCCCCCTAGTGTTTCGATAAGCGACGAGAGGAGCAAATGAGGCTACTTGGATGTTATTGAAATTAACCACCCAGAGTCCTTGCTGTCGCCAAAGCGGATCGATGAGTCACCATCGGTCATCTACCCCTTAATTTAATTCGTTCGCCCGTGTATAAATTAATGACGGTTCTTCAACCGCAGGCTCGGGAAACACCGCTACTCACGTGGTTTCTACGTCAGTCGGGACAGCGATATTATTATGAACGAAACGCCTCAATTAGCAACGTCAATTTATCTCATTTGAAAGTTGAATAATAGGAAAATTAATGTGGTTTTTTTTAGTGTATTTTCCGAAGGAAATACACTATTGCATTCTCCCATGATGTCGGACCCAGACCCGAGACCTTGTGAAGAGCACCGATCACGGGTCGTAGATCACGAAAATATATGCCATTCAAATTCATGTGTATATATATATGGTTAGTTAGTTAATTTTATTTAACGACGATCAGCATCTAGGCTATTTACGTCGGGGACTAGGCAATTTTAAATTTTTAAATTTAGTTTCTTGAAGAGTTTTAAAATTTCTGTTGTATACATATATATGTATGTATATATGTATGTATGTATGTATTTCCGCCTTTCGATTTTTGAGTAGTTATATCTTTCTTACGTTCAAAGATATTTTGACCAATTTTTTTGCATTTAGTAGAGACTCATTAGAACTACTATTCTGCGGAAAAAATTGAAATTTGAGGCAATAGATTTTGAGAGGTGGGGCTCGAAAGTGGGGGGAGGTCAAATCTTGTCCACTCGATAACTCGAGCGAAAATGAATATTTTGAGCTGAAATTTTTACGGGTGGTAGTTCTCCTCTAGGACTGGTTTGGTATTGAATTTGAGCTAAATCGGCCGAGCCGTTTAAAAATGGCGAGCTTTGAAAGTTTTAGGCGAGGGGTGCGCGGCATGAGGGGAGCCGGCCGGAGCAGGGCCGCACAGTGGGTCGGGGGAGAAAGTTTTTGGACAAGCTGATCGTCGCACAGTGGGTCAGGGGAGAGAAGTTTTTGGACAAACTTATCGTCGCACAGTGGGTCAGGGGAGGGAAGATTCTGGACAAATTGTTCGTCGCACAGTGGGTCAGGTTAAATGATCTGTTCTTGAACAAAATCTCACCATTTAACCGTCACAACCTTTCGCAGCGCGTTCGCTGGCAACGTACGCAACTACTGTTTTGTGCTATTGCTTTCTGGTGACTGCCACTGCCGGTGGGTATGTTGCTGCCGGACCGCCTCCACGTAGGCAATTTCTCGTACATCGTCCGTCCGCAACTCTCGCCTCTGGTCAATCAGCGCAGTAGTGGGATTCCCGCTCGCCGCGCACTCTCGCGACAAGGTACGCAACTTCTTGCTCACAACGTGCTCACCTGCTCACAACTCAACTTCTGTTTCAATTCTTAA